CCTGTCCTGGGACTCCAAACACGTGAATATTAGACCTTTTGTTATTATCCTCCAGGTTTTTGTGGCTATATTAATTTATTTCTCAATTTTTCCTCTGTTGTTCAATTTGGATAATTTCTATTGATCTGTCTTCAAATTTACTGACTCATCTTCATTCTGCTACTGAGCCCATTTAGTCACCTTTAAAATTTCAGTTATTATATTTTTTAGTTATAACATTTCAGTTTGGTTCTTCCCTTATTGTTTACTCCTTTGCTGAGATTTTCTGTCTTTATATTCATTTCAAGACTGTTTGCTTTAAATTGTTGGAGTGTTTTTACACCTGATCTTAGCCAAAAAGTGGAGAAGCGATTGTTGGAGTATTTTTATAATAGCTGCTTTAAAGTCTTTTTTAGATAATTCCAATAGCTATGTCATGTGTCATCTCAGCACTGGTGTCTATTGAACGCCTTTTCAATAGGCAATCAATAGTTGAGATTCTTAAGGTTCTTCATGTGCCAAATAATTTTGGGCTGTAGTCTGGACATTTAAAATATTATGTTACGGGGCTTTATATCTTGTTTTAATCGCATGGAGGAATATTCATATTTTTGTTTTAGCTTATAGTCAACTTGGTAGGGTCCAGATCGTAAGTTCTGACCTGCCTTTTGTGGATCATGGCTCCAGAGTCAATTCAGTTTTCAAAAGTTTTACAGTGCTATTTAGATCTGTCCCACATGTGTTTTAACCAGTGGCTAGTCTAGGATCTGGGTGGCGATCTGTTTCTTAGTTCAGTTACCACAGTCTTTGGTATGCTATGTAAGATCAGATCCACATGCAGGTTGGGGTGAATCTAGGAGCTCCTAAAACAATGTGATAGGGTTGTTTTCCTAAGCAACTCCCTCTGCATAATCTCCCTGTTACTTTGCTACTCCTTGGAGTCCCCCTTTTCAATTCTTTGGCAAGAAATCTGAGTCTTTATTTACTCCTCTCTGCCGTGCACTTCCTGCAACTTCACTCATGTCTGGGGCCAAGTAGTAGGAGGGCAGAGAGAGAAAAAATATATATAAATAGGGTGTTGCCCCACTGGTTTGGGACCATAGCTACTCCAATCAGAGGAAAGATCTCCCCTCCCTTGTCATTTTAGGCACTTGAGAGCACTGCTCCCTCCATTGTCATGGTTGACTCAGCTGTCATAGGGGGATTGCCTATTGGCTAGGGTGTGAGAGATTGGAGAAAAGAAAAAATGGTACTTCCCTATTTTCTCTGAACATTAGGAGATCTATTTCTTGCTCGTCCTGTTGTGCTTTCTGTCCATGTCAATGGCCCCTACTGGGTTTTGGGCTGCCTTGAGTCCAGTCCGGTGGCTACTGGAGGGAAAAAAATTGTAAACTCGCTGCCAGTTGTTTTACTTCAAATTTGGGTGTTTTTCCTCAAATCACCTGGTACAATGTATTTTTTAGAGTCCTCAAATAGCTGCTCCATGCATTCTGTTCAGGTTTTATAGTTGCATTCAGTGGGAGAGAATGGGTTGAGTGTGATTATTCTGTGTTAACTGGAATCAGAACCCTTGTATCATATACATTAGTTTTCATATATAAATATATATAGATAATGGAGTGTTTTCTTTGGTGTATATTTGTGAATAGCTGGGACTAATCTTTTCATACTCTACCTGAGGCAACCACTTTATACTATAAATACTCTTCTGGTTGTCTATTGCTATGGGAGAAATCACCCTCAAACTTAGTAGCTTAAAATAACATAAATTATGTTATTATTATCTCATAGATTCAGGTATTGATTAGGCTCAGCTAGGTGGTTCTTCCTTGTGGGGGGCAGTCTCTCATATGTTTACAGTAAAATGGTATCTGGGAATGAAATATCTGAAGGCTCACTCATTCATGTGTGTGGCATTTGGTCTGGGAACATTCAAAAAGTTTGGCTTCTGTGGTGTCTGTCTCTACTGCTATGTGGTCTCTCCATGGTTTCTCCAGCATGGAACCTTCAAGATTTCTTTTTTTCCCAGCTTTATTGAGGTATGATTGACATATAACATTGTGTTAGTTTAACGAATACAACATGTTGATTTGATACACATATATATTGCAATATGATTACCACCATAGCATTAGCTAATGCCTCCATACTGTCACATAATTACCATTTCTTTTTTTGTGGTGAGAACACTTAAGCTCTACCCTTTTAGCAACTTTCAAGTATATAGTACAGTATTATTATCTATAATCACCATGCTGTACATTAGATTCCCAGAACTTGTTTATCTTATAACTGGAAGTATGTACTCTTTGACCAACATCTCTCCATCTCTTCCACCCCCAGCCCCTGGTAACTACCACTCTACTCTCTGTTTCTATCAATTTGGTTTTTTTAGATACTACATATAAGTAAAATCATACAGTATTTGTTTTTCTGTCTGACTTATTTCAGTTAGCATAACACCCTCAAGGTCCATCCATGCTGTTGCAAATGGCAGGATTTCCTTCTTTCTCATGGCTGAATAATATTCCACGGTGTATGTATATACCACGTCTTCTTTATCCATTCATCTGTTGACAGACACCTAAGTTGTTTCTATATCTTGGCTATTGTGAGTAATGCTGCAATGAACATGGGAGCACAGATATCTCGATGAGATCCTGATTTCAATTTCTTTGGATATATACCCAGGAGTGGGATTGCTGGATCATATGATAGTCCTATTTTTAGTTTTTTGAGGACCCTCAGTACTGTTTTTCATAGTAGCAGCACCAATTTACATTCCCACCAACAGTGCACAAGGGTTCCCTTTTCTCCACATCCTCACCAGCAATAATTATCTCTTGTCTTTTTGATAATAGCCATTCTGACAGGTGTGAGGTGATATCTCATTATGGTCTAGATTTCTTACATGGAAGCTCAGGGCTCCAAAGTGAGTGGAGAGCAAGAGCATTAAGAGTGAGCCAGGGGCTTCTCTGGTGGCGCAGTGGTTGAGAGTCCGCCTGCCGATGCAGGGGACACGGGTTCGTGCCCTGGTCCGGGAAGACCCCACATGCCGCGGAGCGGCTGGGCCCGTGAGCCATGGCCGCTGAGCCTGTACGTCCGGAGCCTGTGCTCTGCAACGGGAGAGGCCACAACAGTGAGAGGCCCGCGTACCGCAAAAAAAAAAAAAAAAAAAAAAAGAGTGAGCCAGGCAGGAACCCGATTGCCTTTTACGACGTAGCTTTACAAGTTACCACATTCTATTCTTTGAGGCAGTAAGGGTCTACCGAGGTTCAAGGGGGGGTGAACATAGCTGCCACCTCTTAATGCAGGAGTGGCAAAGTTATGGAAGAGCATGTGGGATTGGAAACCCGGTTTCTGGCGCTTTTGGAAAACACGATCTGCCGTAAGTACTAAGAAATCTGTACTTTTTCGGCAGGCGGACTCTCAACCACTGCGCCACCAGGGAAGTCCAGAAATCTGTACTTTTAAGGTAGCTCTTGAGTTGTCCTCAGTGTTACCTATAGAGAGAAGCTTTTCCCTTGACTTTTGGGAATCTAAGAGGCTGTGATATTAAATATTATGCTCAGTGAACATGGCTTTTAGTGACTCTCCAGAAATTAGATTTTCAGCAAACATGGCTTTTAGTGAGTCTCCAGAACTTAGATCAAGTTTTCCCATTGGTTAACTTTCTCTGTGACTATCCACATTTTTAGTGTTTGCAGTTTCATTGGGAAGCTGCATGGAACTTCAAGGTATATTGATTTTGTAGGGGCTGTGTGACAGTCTGGAAGAACAGGGAGAGATGCTAGCTAAAATCTAGATGAAGAGATTCCCCTGCTGCAAAGAAGGTACTGGGCAGCCTTGGCAGCGTGCTCACCTAGAGGGGAACCAGGAAGTCTGGTTCACATATCTTTCCTACCTAATACCATCTCTACCCTATTACTACTCCTTTTAGTTAAGCATTGCTCTCTTCAATGAATCCTCTTAAAAATGCAGACTCCTCTGGGAGACAAAACTTGGACAGTTGGTACGGATTTCAGAGTGGTTCAGTAAAGGCTTATGAGCACAGTGCTAGGCGCTGGGAATTCAGTGATTAACTCAATCTCTCTTTTCTTCCTTGACCAGAGGAACAAGGTAGATTGAAAATTCTTGTTCCTGAGGATTTGTTCCAAGAGGCTTTATCATTTAGAGTCCACTTTACGATTTTTTTCCAGACCTGGGCCCGGTCTTAAGAATCACCAAAAACTCCCTGGGCTACCAACAGGTCAACATAAAAGGGCCACTAGGGTAATTGCCCCTCCCCAACCACCTGCTGCTTATCTACCTGGAATGGCAAGTGTCCAGTTCCTTCTGGTTCAACCCGCTTCCCCCTGAGGGTTAGTTACACAGTCCAGAATAAGAAGTCAGTCTACTTGCCAAGTGGTAAAGGTGCTATTTTAACGCTCTTCCCTCATTTCAATCCCTTATCGGTCCTCACTTTGGGTCAGGCTAAAGCCGAGGTTTGAATGAAGCCTGGCGGATTCTGGGAAGCCATGAATGCTGGAAGGCACTCTGAGAGACGTGGGAAGAGAGGTGTAGGGGGTAACGTGGCTTCGAGGCTCCTCGGCTTCTCCAGAGTCCCCACTTTACTGGGCCCAGGGCGGCTACACACTGGCCGGAGATCAAATACTTCGAGTGGTCCCAGACACGGGACTCGAGACCGCACATCCAAGAGGATGCTCCTGCCAGGCACGGGCGACCTCTGGCGTCCCGTTTACGAAGCGCGGCGGCGAGTGCCCAGGAAGTGGCCCCGCGAGCCCAGACGGCCTGGCCAGGTACGCCGGGACCAGGCGAGGAGCGCAGAAGGCGAGGGGCCAGCGGTCCCGCCCGCAGGCTGGAAGGCGACCGGCGACCCCGCTGGGGAGGCGACGGGGCGGGCCCGCGGCGCGGCCGGGGGCCGGACAGGTGCGCGGGCGGGGGGCGGTGCTTGGGGATCCTGCGCACTGCGCGCGCCCCTCCCCCAGCGCGGCTCCCGGCGCGGCCCCGGCCCCGGCGCGAGCGGGAGGAGGAGCTGCGGCTTCAGCGGCCACTCGGGCAGGTCGGCGGCGCCACGGGAAGCCGCCGACGGCGCGGGCTGCCTGTCCCAGCGCGCAGGAGGCGCGCGGGCGGCGCTGGGGCCATGGAGCCTGGTGACGCGGCACGCCTCGGCCCGGAGCGGGTGGTTCGGGCGCTGCCACCGCGGCTGCTGCTGCTGCCGCTGCTCCCGCTGCTGCTGGGTCGGGGGCTGCGCGCGGCGGCCTCGGCCTCCTCCTCTGGGGCGGCGGCCGAGGACAGCAGCGCCATGGAGGAGCTCGCCACGGAGAAGGAGGCGGAGGAGAGCCACCGGCAGGACAGCGTGAGCCTGCTCACCTTCATCCTGCTGCTCACGCTCACCATCCTCACCATCTGGCTCTTCAAGCACCGCCGGGTGCGCTTCCTGCACGAGACCGGGCTGGCCATGATCTACGGTGAGCACCCTGCACCCGCGCCCACCGTCCCCGACTCCCCTCGGCCGCCCGGGCTGCTGCGCTCCCCCCCGCCCCCCGTCGCCGCCTTGTGCTCCCCCTTCACTTGCCGACGTGTTTCGTTTCTTTTCCGTTTCCCGCTGCGACGGTCTTGGTTCCCAAGGTCAACTGTCTGCATTTTCGGGCTCCCTATTACCATGAAAGAGAATTCCACTCCATTTCGACGTTTCTTCAAGGGGAACCGGGAAAATGAAAGGCACCGGGGTGGCCTGGTTCTGTCCGATCGGTTCTGTCTCAGCTTTGCCCCCTCTCGCGCCCCCGCCCCAGTTCAGCTCCACAGGGTGTGTGCGGTGGCGGGAGGTGGGTGACCTCCCAGGAACCGCACCGCCCCAGGAAGCAGGCCACCGTGAGGGTGGGGCGAGGACTGAGCGTTCCTCGGCTTGGGTTGCGGCTGACGGGGCTTGGTGGATGCCGCCGCGTCCATGGTCAACCTGGGTGGGCGCCCACTTCTGACATCTGTGTTCCCGGATCTCTTGTGAATAAAGTCGAGGCTTGAAGCACTGTGAAAGGTGAGCGTGGTCCAGGACTTAAGAGTGGTGCACCGCCATGGCGGGCCTAGTCGGGGAGATGGGCACGCCTCCCACTCTTATGTCCAGGTGGGAAGTTTTACCCAGTTACTTGCCTTCTCTAAGCTAAGAGGAGCTTTCCTATTCCTCAGATTGTAAGAAGGACACGACTTCGAAGATACATTTAAGGGTGTATGAAGAGGAAAAGTAGTGGTTTTAATTCTGGAGTCAGCCTTCTTTTGTTGTGAAAGGTGGGCTATGCCACCATCCTTTTCTGGATTTAATGGCACACGGTGTTTTACATGCACAGTGGTCAGCACAAATCTTCCGTTACTACATGGATGTCAGCCACAATCTGAATCATCCCTCTTCCCCCCGCCATGCCCCCACTCCGCCCCCACCCCCGTCCACCATGACATGACTCCAAACTGGAACCAAGTATTCTCTTTTTGAATTTAATTCAGTGGAGTTAAGGCCCGGGTTGGCATCCTCATGTGAAATAGATGAGCCCACTTCACGACTGTTCTCAGTAGGGAACATTTGACTTCATCACTTATACTGGAGGGATCTCTCCACTCAATTTCCATTCAGGATTCCCTGATAGAGAATGGAAAGCAGACACCTTAATCTTTAATGTGACAATTACCCTTGGCCCTGGGCCTTGCTTCTCATGGTTCTTGACTGTTGACAGCCCAGGCTCATGGCCACCAAGGTTATGAAGTGCTGTCAGGGAGCCCTCTAGTTTTAAAGACGTAGTGGCCTAAACAGGACTTGAGTTGAAACAGGACCAGATCTAAAACTGAGTTTGGTTATTGCAAATTATAGGTGTGAACACAAACCTGGCCATTCTTTAGCTTTGTGGTTTGTGTCAGTCGGTGACGACTGATGCCCAGGCTGCAGGTAAGCTCGAAGGTTTCCTGAGCAGGTAGCAGAGTGGGGAGTTGAAGCATGTTGTCATTTCAGGCGATTGACTCTGCCATAGTGCAAATGAACGTTGCCTTTATATGTATATAGATAGCCATGAAAATATTTTTATTTTATAGCCCTTAGATCCAATTCATTAAAGTACAGTGTGAAATACTTTTAGAAGGTAGATTTGACAGGCTCATAAATACATGCTCAAGTGCATGGAAATGGGATTTAAAAATGGATTTTCTGAGGAGTACTCCATGTTCTTAGCAGCTCAGTCACCTTTATCTTAAGGCTTGAAAACAACAGTGGAATTTTCCTTTGTGGATATGTACTTTTTAAACTCATCTCAATCTTTTAGTCATTGGGATTGTGCTACCAGTGTACTGTTTCATTTTGTCTTGCGGAAATCTGGTTTAATTGATGATGTTCAGAAAAGGCAACATCCTCTCATAGCATTCTCTGTAATTTTGTTCTGTGTCTTTGGGTTTTTTAATCTTCCTTTGAAATGCATTAAGAAATTTGTTTGTCAATGTGAGATGTCCTAGGTTCTGCCAAATATTAATATTTTGGTGTGGGTTGCCTATAATTGAGAGAAAATATTTCTCTTTTTCTCAGGGATATTTAGTCTACTGTTTCAAGTCTCCCCCGTCCCCAATTCTGAATTCTAATGTCATTTGATAAGCTAACTAGCTAATGTATACTTAGACTGTTGGGATAGGGATTCTGATTAAAATTCGGTATGAAAATCTTTGAATACTTATGTGAATGCAGTACAAATTTCAGGACTTCTCTTTCTTAATAGTAAGAAATCAGATTTCATTTCTTGATATCAATAGAGGAAATGAGTAAGTGTCCTGTTGCCTCTGAGTAATAAAGGACAAAAAGATCTAAGGAAACATTTGTTAAGTATCTGCTGTGTGCTGGGTGCCCAACTTAATTTATGGAGGTGACCAATTTAACTTTTAAATGTTGGTAAGTTTTCATGAGTGAAAAGAGTTCAGCTGCGAATTTCAGTTCTTTACTTTGAAATTTAAAAAATCTAATTCCTGCCACTTTAAAAATATTTAAGTGGTACTTTGAGAGGTAAGGCTTTAATATTTAAAATAAGTTGTGATATATACATATATGATACAATGTATTAATATATAGTAATATATTAAAATGTGATAATATATGTATTTGCTGGTGTAGTTGTAAAATATCTCTGGAAGGACATGCAATAGACTAGTACCATTGGTTTCCTTGTGGGGGAGGAACTAGGTGGGTGGGACATAGGAGTGGGAGGGAGACATCACTTTATACCCTTTTGTGCTTTCTTTTTAACTTTGGAAGTGGAATCACCTAATAGCATGTCCATGCCTCCATTCTGTGGCATTGTTGTGGCATTTTAAGATGCGCCTCAAATCACCCAGTTTGATGCCCGCTTCTCCCTATTCAAATCACATTGTTATCAATTTTCTGTGATCTTTCAATTGTTGACTACCCATGAAACTTTTGGAACCCTGTGTTTGGAAGGGAGACAAGACAGGGAAAGGGGAAGCGATTTTCCCTCCTCTTCCTCGCTCCTTTTATCCCACTATCTCCCCAAAAGAGTTGATGTTACTTTAGGAGCGGTGTGTACAGATAGATCCCAAAGGACCTAAGGACAAGAAGAGACAAGCTGTGAATGCTTAGCATTTAAATTGAAAGGAATTCCCCTACTCACCAAGGGACAGTTAGAAGCACTCCTCCTCCCTGGGCACTGGTCCAGGCAGCTACAAGGGAAGGTGACCAAAGACTAGACTCTCCAGGGACGTTGAAGGCAGCCCCCAGACCCTGCGATGGGAGCTGCAGGGCAGTGGGTAAGGTGCTTGCCTGGCACCAGTCTAACCTGTTTTGTCAGGGCAGGGAGCTCCCAGCTGTCTGGCTCGGTACATGATTGAGTGCCGTCCTGAAGTTACCAAGCCCCGCATGTCTGTGCAGCAGAAACAGCGAGTGTTTGAGGCAGGGAAAGGTGTCATAAACAGACTGTGTCAGTTAATTGTGGTTCTCTCTCGTGTGTACAGTGGTTCCACTTCCCCCATAATGTTTTTGTGACAACTGATATGGGTCCAGAATATCTAACTTTGCCATGCTAGCCCACTGCCTGCTTCTGGCTTCCCCCTCCTCCACGCCTGTCAACTTTCCAAGTACATGTTGGTCAGCCCCTCCAGGTTCTGTGGACGGTGGGCTCATTGTTGTTTTGTTGAAGCTGAATTCCTAAGCACAGGCTGAGGGTGGGTTCAAAGCCAAAGTCTGAAAGAGGAAATATGGCTTTTTGCAGTAGCATGAAATTAACATTTGAGCCTGTGAGCAAACATTTCAGAACCACCCTCTTCCTGGTTAATCCGGAGCCCTTATTTATTTATTTATTTTTAAGAGCCCTTCACTTTGGCCCTAGTTTGGGGAAGCTCTGTATAGTCTCCGTTGGGTACCAGATCCCCTGGGTTCAAATGTTGGCCCTGTTACTTATAAAGCTGTGTAACATTGGGCAAGCTCTCTGAGCCTTAGATTCCTCTTTTCAGAAATGGAGACAATGCCACTCACCTCACAGAATTTTTGTATTATTGTGATATTGTAAAGGTCAAGTGCAGTGTCTGGTACTTACTTGGTAAATATTAGTTCTCATTTTCAACTTAGATTTGTGATTCTTTGGCCAGCATTGCTACTTGAGCAGAGACCTGCTGTAATTTTAAAATGCATTAGGATACAGTTAGTGGGAGTGATGAGAATCGTAATTTTTGGTGGGCTATTTGTTAATACTTAGAAAAAAATTTACAGGGTAGCTATTCTACTCTTTTATCCAGCAGTCTCCATTCTTGGACTTTATTTTTCAGAAATACATGCACTAGCATGTTACGTTATATAGATGGCAATATTTGTTGCAGCAGAAACAAGTTGCAATACTCATTAAGAAGGAACTGGTTAAACTACAGCACATTCCCACTAAGGAATACTATGCAGCTGGGAAAAAGAGGTGTTTTGAGATGTCCTTTTAGGGCAGCTGCCCACACATAGTTTTGTGGGAAAAAACAAGGCACAGAGCAGTATGTATAGTATCTCATTTATTTTTTTGAAAGCCATATGATGTATATACATAAACATGATGCATATACATTTATATATGATATGTGTGCTCTAGAAGGATGCACAAACTTAGCAGTGGTTATCCTTTGACAGTGGGACCTGTTGTTGGGAGGGAGAGAGGGGAGATGTTACTTTTCCTTTTGTACTCTTCTGAATGGCCTGAAATTTCTATAACACTTACACATTACTTTTGCAATTGAAACATTTAAAAATAAAGCAAACAAAGAATAGATACATGTATATGTATAACTGAATCACTTTGCTGTACACCCAAAACTAACACAACATTGTTAATCAACTATACTCCAATATAAAATAAAAATTAAAAAATAAAGCAAACACCTTTTTTTGTAGCAAAAATGCATTAGAAATAGATTATAAGTTGTGTGGTTCGATAACATTAGTTATTTAAAAATTAGA